TTTTATTACTGAACGTTAAGTATAAAAAGTATTAAGAGTTTGATTGCTCATAACTTCGTTAAAAATTATTGTACCGCAATGAAAGAAACAGATTCTTAATGCCGAAATTTTGCTCTATCGCTATCGAATAATATATAATTATCAATTCTTTTGAAAACAGAATATATATAAAATTGTTTTATTCCACTCTAAAGACCGAATAAATTTATTTGCCAACCCAATATTTTCATTAAAAATATAATTCATTTTTCCATGTTCTATCATATTCTATTCGTTCTACAAGTTCCGCTTCAATATGACACATTGTTTTCTATTATTGCAATTTTGATGGCTAATAGCTGTATTATATTATTTATAAAAGCAATATATTCAATATATATATATTTCTAAAATAACAAGACATTATGATAACAAAACATTATGATAACAAAACATTATGATAACAAAACATTATGATTCTATATCGAATTTTCGGTTTACCCAATTTATTTCGTGAACGAATATGTTAACACCCCTATTGACAAAGATAACATTATGATAGTTACAATCTTAAAGTATATTATATGTAGGTATAACTATAATACAACCGCTTGAACGATGAATGCACGGTGTATTTTTCATAGCCGCGATATTTTTTTTGCGTTAGCGAGAGGAGTATGTGTTTTCCGACGTGGAAAGCCACGAAGTTGTTTACACTGTTGTCCTGATTCACGTCTGTATTTTCTGCGGAAAGCATCGGGGATAATGGACGATATTTCCGGGGAACTTTGTAACCCCGTGTACCCCTCTCATCGGAGTAACGACGCGAGCAACGAAATTTCCATAGCGTGAATTAATGCGCTCCTCTGAACCGGAAGTGGATAACGAATCTGTTAAAATTGCGCAGGCTACTCCTAGCTGGAGCGCGTACTTGGTATCTATGTCGATTTAATCGTTTTTATGCGCGATCAATGATCATCGTGTTGCTCGAGAAGAAGGTACAATAGTATCGATAACGACAGATGGGATTCTGTAATAACGAACACATCTCTGCGAGAAAATCGAAAAACGCGATAACAGCGGAAATTCGAGATAAACATTACATCATTTGCACGGAATTCAACGCTGTACATTAATTTAACCGATTAAATTAACATCATCAATCAGAATTCATTTTGCTTGATTATCACAAAATCTATATGTACGTTTCTCGGTGAATCGATAACGGTAATTTGCATATTTACGTATTCCTGCGCTTTTTTGAAAATTGGCTATCTGCGCATCCAAGTTAAATCGCGCGTTTTCGTAATATACGATATTACGTAAAGAAATATATGTACATTATATCTCTCTCCAAAAAAAAAGGACAGATTATTCGCTAAAATATATATCACCGATACTTCATTTAATCGAGGATATGTTTATGTGTTGTAATTGAGCGGGAGGATAACTGATAAATTTTAGGAGGTCAATAATCGTGGTACATCGAACCTGCGACTAAAAGCTTTGACCTTGCACTCGGCGGAGAGAAAAATTTATTCATACACACGTCGGGGAAGTTTTCTACTCGTGCACCTCGGAACAGCCTCGCCCACACGCAAGACGGGTCACACCCATTTAATTTCGCGGTTTCTCTTCTTTCATCTCTCCTTCTCAGGTTTCTTCACTCGTCGCTGTAATCACCTCTGTGTCTTCCGCTCTCCATCCACCACCTACCAATCCCCGACGTGATCCGCGCGCGTTGCTCCCTTCTAGTCCTCATTATGCGCCATTTATCCTTCACGCTCTCATCGCTCTTGTTGCCCGAAAGAGAGACGGCTCGAAACAAGAAAGGGGCAGTCGCTATTTTCCTCTGACTTCTTATTAGACACTGTCAAATGGTGCGATCATGCATGATAACAGTTCTCGATTTTCATTAAACGATGCTTGATATGACAGTTTTATAGAATTTATGAGGATGTAAATATTCTACCTGATTGCATAAAAATGTTCTGCATTTTCCTTCCACATTTTAATATTATTTCATTTAAATGTAATTAATTTAAAATTCCGACGAGACTTGATTAATGTTTCGAGAAAATGCATGTATACTTAGGTAGAAAGTCTATAAAAAGACTTGTTTTCCACTATACAGACTTCTATTCTTCTTTTATGCTGTTTAGAAAATTCCTTGTACACAACGTGTGTGTCGATCGAGACGATGGTTGCTATGTATTTTCGTTCGATATACAAGTCACGTACGAACAGGAGTTGTGACCACAACAAATGCAATTTTCCGCCGAATTGCAATCTTGCACCGGATCGAAATTCACAGAATAGTGCGACGCTATAATCAAATTATGAATTAATATTCCTTTACAATGATCTAACATCAAGTTCCGAAAAAAATTGAAGAGTTATAATATGCAGTAATAAGCATATTTAAATGAGGGGATAATGCGATAAATAGATTACTAAATTATATAGGGGAGAGTTGTTGAATGCGTTATACCGGCATAAATTGTACTTCATCAATATTTTACATATTTTTCTTAATATAAGCAATTTAGTGACAAAAATGAAAAGTACATAATAGTTAACAGTTACATCCTGTTTTGTGCGTGATTAACAACATTTAAAAAATCAGGTTCAAGTGATGTTAATTTTTGATCAATTGTGTAGCTGATAATAATATTGTCATGCAATTTTATTCTGAATTTTTATTTTTCATAAAACAAGATTTATTGCATAATATTTTACATTTATTGTATAAACATATTTGCAATTGTTATAAAAATTAAATCAATATTTTTAGAAAATCTATCAAGTTTCCTAAATCGTACCATATCACATTTTATTACAATAAACGTACTGATAATTGATAATAGTAAAATTAATTGATATGAATAAAAATGTCAATTGCAATTCAAAAATAAAATTCAAATCGGTTTTATTTCGATGTCTTTATCTTTTCATTATTGTTCTTTATCAATTACTAAATATTTGAATTTTTTCTTTGATAAATTTTTAAAAATAAATATTAGTTAACGATTCCTTTTATTAATATTATATCTTTCATTATTTTTATTTATGAATTCGATACTTTTAAAGATGATATGATTTAATAGATTCACGATTAGTTGTAAAATCATACGTTTATTACAATATGTTGCTCATAATAAATTAATTTGTTATTGGTGAAAAATTAAACATGTATAAATACATGAACATCAAGCTATAATTTCCAATATATCCAGCTATGATTTGCATACAAATCAAATATCAAATAAGAAATAAAATAAAAAATAACTTAAGTGATACGCATTCGACAACCCTTATAAATTATTAGATATCAGATTATTAGATATCAAGTTCCATCATCTAAAATCCAGATATTTAACGACGTCGTTTCAACATGTTCAACTGTATCTCGTTGCTTTTTCAATGCGGGTATAATCGTTACACGTGCAAAGAACTGAAATATCCCATGCAATCTGTCGTGTCAGCTTTTCGTGCAGCAAAATACTTGGCGTTCTCGTGCATTCTTACATGGAATGCGACTCGCGTATGCATACGAAAGATAAGAGCGGAGATAGAGGATGCGATGCATTAGAGCGTAGGTGGGTCTTCACATTTCTTGGCAACGTAAAACGACATTATGTGCCAAATCCAAGGTTGGCTCCATTGGATATGACTGAGGCTCTCTTTTTACTTTACTATTTCGCCATTTGTACTATAATTCAAGTGACTGCTAATATCAAGAGAAAAAGGTATATTCTCTCTTTCGACTGGTAACAGATCTAAGAAATCTGAAAAAATTGCGTGAATCGTTTATTTTGAGAATGTCGCTACTTTAAGACTTGAGAATCCTGAAATTAATACATCGCTCATGTAAGTAAAACTGTTCATATAAGGGAAAAGTAGGTGGTCCCTTATGGCTAACCATGATCCTCTAGATCAAAATCTATGAATCGTCTTTGCTTGGGCTCGTGCCAACGTGCGCTGCTTTCGCTTTGAACCGACGCGAAAATTACTCTCTCGATACTCGATCAATGTCCTACGTCGTCGATCATACCTTCTTACCTACCCCGATATACACTACACACATACATATCTGGTGGGAGCCCATCGAGTACGCGATTATCGAATTACGTCAATTTTCCGATACCTTTACTAGCATCCGCGACATAACGATGGCAAGCGGAGCATCCCTTGCTCTTCTAAATTCTAACGACATTAAACTTAACTCGCTCCTTCGCAGAGGAAGAAGCGCGCTTCACCGTCTGTCGTCTAAAGGTGAAAGTTGCTTTCGAGGAAGCGTTTTCCGAGTGCAATTCCGGCGCGAACTATAAATTGCCTGAACAAGAAATCTTTTCTCAATTTTTGTTAACTGTCGTCTACAGACAGTGACATGCGAATCTATATGATCAAATCCCATTATTGCTGAAAACAATGCAAAAACATATTTCATGAGAATAAATATGCAAATTTTTTGAACGATTGAATTTTTGAAGATTTTTTTGAAGATCAAGATCAAAGAGACGATTTTTCGGTACGTTAATATATCTTACATCATAACTTTTCGAGCCACTGTTGATCCAAGGCAACGAAGTCGCACTGATGTTCTGACAAAGTTTACATCAAACTGGAACAAGAAGAGCTTTAAGTTCATCCATTGTCCAAGCGAGTATAAGCAAGAAGTAACGAAGATTCCGACATTGAAACTAAAGCTCGTTGATTACTTTCTTGGGCAATGGACGGTCGAAAACTTGTTGATTACTTTCTTAAACGCTTCCTTAGGCAGTCGTAAACTGTTTCTTTATTTTTATTTTATCTCATGCTGCGTAACCTTTCCTCGTGAAAGTTTCTTAGTTGTATCACTACTTAACGCCTTATATTTTTTTAATTACTTTACAAGGACATACATTTTTTTCATTATACTTATTTAATTGCATGCATTTTCTTAGAAACTTTTTGGCTATCTTCTAAGGCAAATTTTTCTCTTTTCTTCTCTGACATTTTGTGTCATTTCTGTTTTACAGCAACGGCAACAAGGTGACAACGAGGACTGTGACGCACACAGCCCAACAATCGACTGAAAATGGCCAAAAGCGCTGAGAGATTACCCGGTACTTCTACCAGACTTAGGACCAGGGATGACGGCTGCTGTTCCGTGAATTTCTTGAAATACGTTCTTCACATTTACAACGTGGTGCTGTTTGTACGTATCATCCATTTATCCCGGTACCCGTGCGCGAAAAAAAGGAATATTTTATTTCGGAAACACATCTACGCAGGAACGCGTGTTAACATAGATGAAAGACGCGAACCGTGAAATCCGCTGTCCCTCTTCACGAGAGAATCTCTCCTATCTCTCTTATCCAACGGTCTTCTTTGCACTTTCCGACGAAGTTACTTTAATTTAAGTCTCGTTTTTCCAACCGGTATATATAGTCGTAGACTTTCCGTCGCGAGACGTAAAATCACTCGACGAGCGAAGCACCGAAGCGTTCATTTTTCCTAACTTTTTACTTTCAATAGCTTATGATCTGAAACTTAGTAAAGCTCATGTCATCAATCAAAAAAAGCAATGTCAATTTTATTAAATTTTAAGGGTTATTAATAGTTTCTCATGTGAAATTTTCGTAAAATTAGATAGTTATTAATGAAAAAATTATTACGAAGTACATTAAGTTTTAATGTAGAAGTCACGAAATAGTCGAAATATTCTTTTACGTAGCCTTTGATGTTCAATATCTTAATTGAGTTACTGCATCAGTACTAGTACTTAACAATTAAAGAATGCATCTTTCAAAGGGAATACGATAGAACGGCAGAATGTCTCGTATAGTATTCTGCTGGTGAACACTGAAGTGATTGAAACAAGACGAAAAAATGCGCCATTATTCAACAATTATTCCCGTCTGTCTTCCGCTTTCGCAATTTATGAGAGATTAAAGCGGCGAGAATGGGATTGCTCGTTGTCGTGGAGCTCACATTTATCGTAAAGACGAGCCGTTCTCGGAGCTCGATCGTCACTTGACCGGATGTCCGGCAAGCTTTGCAATCACCGACACTCGGTATAAAACTAATGAGCTCACGGTTATATCTGCCTTTAATTGTTATCGCGAATACCACGCGTGCTTCTAGCGTGAGTTAAATTAATAGATAGGAGAGAAGAAAGAGAAAATAGAAGGGATAAAGAGAAGAAAGGAGAAAGTGGAGAAAGGAGGGAGAGGGAGAGAGAGAGAGAGAGAAAGAGAGCAGGGGAAAGGGATAGAGAGAAGAAAGGAGGATGAGAATAGAGAAGAAATCATCGCGCATGGGAGGACGTTTGAAACGAACGTTTCTTTGATCGCGTGCGTGCTCTCGATCCTATAAGAGAACTTTATTATACGTGGGACAGAGAGAGGTTCGAAGGATTAAAGTGCAACGCAAGAAATAATCTCTCGGACCCCGCCGTAACAGCTCACGCGGGC